GAAAAGATCTGTTCCAGGCCTCTCTCCTTGTCTTGTAGATGACCACTGTTTTCCTTTGTCTCTTCACATATCTTCCCTCTGTGCATGTCTGTCTCTAGGTCAAATTCCCTGTTTTTGTAAGGATATCACTCATACTGGATTAGAGGCCCACCCTACTGTAGTATGGTCTCATCTTAATTAATTACATCTGCAGTAACCTCATTTCCAAATAAAGTCACATTGTGAGGTGCTGGAGGTTAAGACTTCAACATATGAATTTTGAGGAGACACAGATCAACCCATAACAATTGTATATGGCAGAATTGGCAGTATAGATCTGTTGCTTTGCCTCCCACAGATTTGTCACCCCTTTACCCCTGGGTAACAGAGCTGCCAAAGATTACTCAAAGCCCATCTCTTCTGAGCAGTGAGAAGCCCTGGAAAGGGGTTAATCTCCCAGAACCCTCAAGAGAGAGGCATTCCTTCCATCCCAGAACCCTCAAGAGCAGAACCCTCAAGAGAGAGGCATTCCTTCCATTAGGGAAATTAACTATGAATTGAGGTTCTCTTCCTGCATTTATTCCCCAGACGAGGAAGTTACAGGAAGAGAACATAGGTGGGGTTTTTGCTAAGTACAGTTTAACAAGTTTAACAATAGACATTCCATAATGTAATTTTCAAGAAGTTAAGTTGATCCACCAACAAAAGCTTGATCTTAGCAAACATTCTCTTCTTACAGCAATTTCCCACTATCTTTACATATCAATCAGTAACCTGTCTGCCTTTGATCCAGCAACCTTGCTGTGTTGCAATTCTTTATCTTACAATAAGAGTATAGCCTGGGGAAAATTTCCTGTCCTTTGCAAAGTCAGTATTTGAAACTGCAAGGCTTTGGAAAACCAGGCCCTGTGAAGTACATTTGTTTTATGCATACTTCACACAGATCAATGGAGGAAAGATAAAAAATCCAATTAGTAGGGTTGGTTGGAATAATGAGATATGTATGTAGGAAAAATAAAATTAAAAAGTGATACCTACTTCAAACCATACACAAAAAATAATTCCCAATTAAAGACGTGAATGGGAAGAGCAAATCCATATAATTTTTAGAAAAAACAATGAAATTATTTTTATCCTATGAAAGGTGGTCTTATGACATAAAAAGATTGTAAATTTGATTTCGACATTAAAATTAAGAACACATTATGTTAAGTGAAACAAGTCAGGCACAGAAAGAGAATAACACATGTTCTCACTTATTTGTGGGAGCTAAAAATAAATAAATAAATAAATAAACACACAAACAGACATAGGGTTGGGGGGGAGAAGACACAACAATCACAACAATTCCTTGAACTTTTTAAGACAAGTGAACAGATATGATGTAGGGGGGAGGGGAGAGAGGGAGGGGGGAAGAGGAACAGGTAAAGGATCATGAAAAGTGACTACTTTTCATGTATATTGAGAAGTTAAAATAAAAATTAAATTAAAATAAAATAAAATTACAAACTTATGTTTTTTAATGACACCTAATGAGAATGAAAAGTCAAGCCATAACCTTAGAGAATATATGTTTAACACATATGATAAACAATTGTGTCTAAAACACATAAAGTAGTTCCAGAATCAATAATGAAAAGAAAAATAATCCAATAGAAACGTGGGCAAAAGACATGAACAGGCATTTTATAGGCTGAAGCATGAAAAAGGATTCAATCCCCATTAGTAATTAGGAAACTACTGTTCTAACCATCAGTAAGATGCCATTTAACACCCACAAGGTTGGCAAACATTAGAAGTTGGACAATACCAAGTTTTGATGAAGATGTAGAATAATGATAACTCATTTCCTGCCAGGGACCAGCCCCAGCACAGAGATTGTAAAGGTCCCCACTGGTAAGGGATCCCCCAAAAGGGAGGAAGGGCAGCGTCGGCGATGGAGCGGACAGCAAACACACAGGCTCAAAGGATCTGCTGAATGCTGGGACAACAAACACACAGACTCAAGGGATCTGCTGAATGCTGGGACAACAAACACACAGACTCAAGGGATCTGCTGAATGCTGACAGGTTATTGATGCAAGCATCAGACTTTTATACCTTTTTTTTTATTTGCTACATAATCATAAAATAATCAATGAACAATATCATGATATCTCTTTGTAAATGACATATGTTCTAAGAAAAATAGCATTACAGTTTATTCCCAGAAAAGACAATTACAATGTCCTTTCCTTTGAGCAAGAACGTTACAACCCACTGGTCCCATATAATCATCACTTTTCATCACTTGCAATCATTACCAAAACTACATCCATGGTACAATAGACTTTCTATGACGTTATTAAAACTTGATTCACACCTACATCTAACTATTCTTTATTCCTAAATAAACACTCTAAAAATTAACTTGCTTAACTAAACTTCTACTTCTATTGTAAAACAAAAGATTGTACATTAACTCCTTCCAAGCAGCCAGGCCAAACTCTCAGGCACCAGACAAGACGAATGCCTACATAGGTTCGTTGTCCCCTTCTGGGCCCCACTGCCATAAGCCATCTCCTGAAAATCCATAATCATAAGTATCATTAGTATGATTAAATATTTTAGTATAATTTTGAATCCTACTTCCAAGTCTCCCAGAGCGATAGTTATGAGGCAGCAAAGAATAAAATATAATAAAGCATAACAAGCACACAGAGCTCCAGAATATCAGGGTGGAACGCCGGCATCTTCTCCCATGATGAGGCCTTGCTATCATCCCTTCACGATGAGGCCCTGCAAACACTGTGTTTCATTAAAAGATCTTTATCAGGCTTTAATCTTATGAGTGGGAGGCACCCCCGCAATTTTTCACTGTTCAAAATGCAAGGTGGTACAACTATTTTGTAAACTAATTAGACAGTATATTGTAAAGGTATGCATTTATCCTAAAGTTGAGAAATTCCACTTTTATGTCTATACCTGAGAAGCATTCTTGCACGAGTGCACCAGGAGACATTCTCAAGGATACTGATAGCAGAACTGTGTCACTATTTTTAGTAGAGAAAACCCAGAAACAAGTTACATGTGCATAAACAGTTAATTTCTTCAATGGATTCTATTTAACTGTGAAAGTGAATATAAAATTCCATCAACTAGGATGAACCTCCAGAATGTAGTGAAACATACTGGAGGCCTGTAATGATTTCCAATATGCTATTTCTTAAGCTGGATGGTAGATACATATATGTTTATTATTGTATAAAATACAGGATATGTCATACACCACCTTTGCATATATAATATGTTTCATAGTTTAAAAAAAACCCATGGTATAAAGAGATAAGATAAAACGAGAAACTGAGGATGATTTGCAGGTACAAGGTTGGGTGGCTGAGTGGGTGATGACACTGTCAGATTCAGGGAACACAGAAAGAGGGGCATGGTCAAAAGTAAGTTTTATGGAAAAAAAGTAAGTTTTATGACTTTGTTTCTTAAGGTGTTGAGGGTGAAATGTCTGATGTATCCAAGAGTAGATGACCAACAGGCAACAAAATATTAATATCTGGACCTCAGAAAAGAGGACAGTGCTTCAGATTGTGCAATAAGTAGTTGAAAACGTGAAGGAATAAGAGAGCACCAAGAGAAGAAACTCGCTATTCCTAAAACCCAAGCTCATTCCATTGCACCTGTCTATTAAATAAACCAAACCCAACTGTCCCTCCTGCTTTTACCCTCTCCAGACTTATTCCTCTATCCATATGGACTAGATCCAATGCTTCACATTTCACAATGATTCTCATCTAAGTTATTTTGACTCCTATGGTATAAAATTTTTCACTTCTGCCTTTGCTTTTTATTTCTGTTGATATTATATTCTCAATATATTGTTCCCTGGACTACTACCAACTGATTTTATATGTATGTGAATACGTATATTTATTTGTGTATATATATACATATATATACATATATATATATGTATATATATATATCCAGTCCTGTGATTTATGAGTCATTTTAGTATATTTCCTTAGTGCTGTTGAAACCATGTACAGAATAGAAACTGAATATGTGTTTAAACGGAATTTTTGAAAGGTAATGTTTCACATTTCCAGAAGATATATTAAATAAGTCCATCTTCACTAATAAGTAAATAAATGCAGGTTTTTATTTTTTTTTAAAGATTACCAGTAAGGGGATCCCAACCCTTGACTTGGTGTTGTCAGCACCACGCTCAGCCAGTAAGCAAACCAGCCATCCCTATATAGGATCCGAACCCATGGCCTTGGTGTTATCAGCACCACACTCTCCCAAGTGAGCCATAGGCCGGCCAAAATGCAGGTTTTTAAAATAGTCAAATTCAATGGAATTTCACCCATCAATTGGCAAACATTTAAAATAGTAATACTGTAATTCTTCTGAGGAGTCCACCATATCATTGGTCTCCTTGGGCAGTGGGGGAAAAGGGGCAGGGTGAATTGATACAACTTTCCTGGAAAGCAGTTTGGCAGTATATGTATTGTGAAGTATGTTTATATCCTTAGTCTTAGTATTTCCACCGTTGTAAATATGACCTAGGGAAATATTCATATAACAAAAATGTTATATGTAGAGGAATGTTTGTCATATTTACAATAGCAAAAACTGGAAACCATCTATATATCCAGGAATAGAAGAATGGGCTAAAAATTATTGTACAGTGAAATATATAGCTCCTCAAATTGTGTTTTCAAAGGTTATTTAATGACACTTGAAATCACTGGCAGATTGCTGAGAGAAAAACAAACTCAAATGTAGCATAGTATTTAAGAAATATAAGATTTATATCTGCATATAAATTAATAGAGGCAAGTAAAACAAAATGTAGAATGATTATCTCTGATGACGAAATATAGTCATTGGTTTTTTCCTCCATTATTCATTAGCCATTATATTACCCAATTTTTATTCAGAATATCTATTAGTTTTATCATTAGAAAATCATGAAACATACTATTAAAAGGGATTTTCATTAAATCTTCCATCTTTTTTTTAAGGATCCTGCCACGAAGCAGACAGGTTCTGGCACACCTGTTGATCATTGTCTGTCTGACATAAGAGAGCGCAGCAGTACTCCTAAGCTTAGAAGTGAGGTCAACAAGCGTGAAACAGCCCTTGAGATTCAGAATCTAAATTTGGACACCAATAAAGAATGTTGTTTCACCTTTAATTTCAAAGAAAGATCCAGGAAATCAGACCGTAGGGAGTTTACAGTATATGGTGAACCAGATGAGAATATCTACTCAGCTCTGAGAGCTAATGAAAATTTCAGTGAAAGGAGGGAGAAACATTTTAATAAGAACATTATTGTTTATGAAGAAAAAACAATACGAGGATATGTAAATTTAGGAATGCCTCTCAAATGCCTGCCTAGAGGTTCTCATTTTGAAATAACATTTGGTCAAAGAAAGAGTAGCCAGGAAGGAGATGATCAGATGTTGCGCCAGTGTGAAAATCCAAACACTGAATGCATTCTTTTTCATGTCATTGCTGTTGGGAAGAGGATAAAGACTATTCTTCAGATCAGGGAACTTCATGAACAAGGAAGCACGCTTTGCGTCTACGCCTTGAAAGGGGAGACTATCAAAGAAGCCCTGTGCAAGGATGGCCGATTTCGGTCTGACCTAGACGAATTTAAATGGGAACTAATGGAAGGTCATAAGAAAATTTATGGAAAACAGTCCAGGGTGGATGAAGTATCTGGAAAAGTCTTAGAAATGAGCATTTTAAAAAAAGATGTTGACAGGAAAGGTATCAATAAGAAAATTAAACAGAAGAGTGAAAGAGCCACTGATGAAGTCAGTCCCTGTGGCCTGATACAGTCTAAGAACAAGGTCGATGAATCACAGAGAGATGGAGAGTGTGAAGATGGAGAACACAACAGAGAAAAATTTCTCCCACGTCAAAGTCTGGGGAGTGACATTAAAGTTAAAACTTACCGGACAATGTCCAGGCTTAGAAATTATTACAATAGTAGTTATGGAAGAAAATATAGGAGAATAAACTCTCAAGCTAGACAGAGGATCCATCTGGGTAGGGAATATACTATTAATGCAGATGTCATGAAGGAGGTAGCTAGTCTCTTAGAGAATATAAGACAGTTGGACAAAGCCATGATGCATCAATATCCGAATTTTAATGAAGAGACACGTTGGATGCGAGAGTATTTTCAGGAAGAACAGAAGAGAAAAAAAGTGTCAACATGTAAACAATTCAACATGTATAAAAAGTACTTTGGAAAAGTCACTGGAAATTCTTTATCAGTTGCAACCTGTGAACAACTTACTCACCTGAGTAAGTCAGTGGGGTTTATGAAATGGGACAATAATGGAAATACAGGCAATGCTACTTGTTTTGTCTTCCGTGATGGTTATATTTTCACCTGTCGACATGTTGTACATCTTATGGTAGGTGAAGGCACAGATCCACTTTTGTGGCCAAATATAATTAGTGAATGTGCAAAGGTAACCTTCAATTATAAAGAGTTCATCCCTACTGATGACAATTGGTTTTGCATAGAGCCATGGTTGGAAGTATCTAATGAAACTCTAGATTATGCCATTTTAAAACTAAAAGAAAATGGAAATGCATTTCCTCCAGGCTTATTTGGACAAATTTGCTCTCAACCACCTAGGGGTTTGATTTATATAATTGGTCACCCAGAAGGCCAGATCAAGAAAATAGATGGTTGTGCTGTGATTCCTCTACATCAGCGGTTAGGAAGGTATCCAGAGCAAAGTCAAGCTGAGTTGGTCGAACTCCACGCTGCCACTTATAATGTTGTCCCTATGTTTACCCAAAGAAGTTTTCTATCAGAAGTTTGGAGTACACGCACACTTAGTTACGACACTTGTTTCTCTAGTGGGTCCTCTGGCTCCCCGGTGTTTAATGCATCTGGCAAATTGGTTGCTATGCATACCCTGGGGCATTTTTATCGACGTGGAGTTGAAGTTTATGCCGTTATTGAATTTGGCTATTATATGGATTCTATTCTTTGTGATATTAAAGAGAAAAATGAGAGCTTGTATAAATTACTAAATGAAGAAAAAAATGAGAACCACAACGAAGAGAAAAATAACAAACAAGAGCCATCACTTCAAGATCAAACTGAACCCATGGAATATTAGGAAAAAGATGCTGTCTTCAAGAAAATATGCCAATAATGTAGAGTATTGAGAGCTCTTTCCTTACAGTATAATAAAATTTATTTCTTAGAAAACTTTTAGAAAATTATGTGGATGTGCAAAATCCATGTTAGAGCTTAAATACATATTGGGTTTTTTTTTTTCCTCATTGGCTTTTTTTTTTTTTAATTTGAAGTATTCTTAAGCCTCACTTAATATGCTTAGGTCATTTATATACCCACAAAGAATTTGGTATTTGCCATTCTAAATGCTTAGGATGGTCCATCTTTATAACTAGCAAGATGATTCTTGTTCTTTACTGTGGTTACTAGAGGTGGGAAGGGGGGAGGGGGAATGGGGCTAGTGAGAAATTGTTAAAGCATCACAAAGTATGATCACGTTTTGTAATGATGAATATACTCATTATCCTGATTTGATCACCACATATTGTACACAGGTATTGATATTCAACTCTGTACCCCACAAATATGTATAATCAATTATGTTTCAATTAAAAAAAAAGAAAAAAAAGTGACTCTTGTTTTCTACCTAACAAGATAATGGGGAAATACACCGTTAAAGTTAGGGAAAGCATACGTAGGGTTCCTTTAAAACCCAACATTTTTTGGTAATTTTCACTCTTCCCTTCCATGCTACGTGTTACATCAGCCTGTATTGTAAATGGCAGTACACAATTCTAGGTTTTCAGTTCTTTGCTCTAGTTCAGCAATAGCTGACCCTTCTCTTGTAGATATGAAGAGAGCTTGCTAGTCTTCATTCCCACTCTCTCATGTTCAGAGTCTAGAAAGCTAAAAGTTAAGTATTTCAGACTAATTTGTAACTGAGCTTCTAAATCCAAATCCGGTTCTTTCAAATAGATGTACATACTTGCATGTACAATACAGGAAGATGGAAGTAAAGTGAAGGACATCCTTCTGCTTCATCTTTTGAAAAGCTGGGTCATAGAAAAGTGAGCATCTAAAGATAGCAGTTTTGGCCACACTCAGGGTCAATGTCTAGTCACCAGCTTAATGGAAGCTTCATTACTATCAGGAGTAATTGCAGCAGCAGCAGTCAGTATTGCAGTGTTTAGTCATTCACACTGATACTGTAAAGAGCCATTTGTGGTGGTAAGTTTCCTAATTCAGCTTCCTGATTCCTGGATTGTAGCTAAGAATATGTTCTTGAACTCAACAATTCAAGTGTTGGCCTCTTGAATCCCTCTGCTTTTATCATCCTAAACATTTCCAGCACTTGATCCCTCACATTAAATATTTTACCTGCACTGAACCCTGACTGCTATCCCCTCCTTGACAACTGCAAGCAATTGATTGGACTGTCTGAATATGTGGTCACCTCTTGCTTATACAAAAATCATAAATCTAACTCAAGCAGAGAGTTTGTTGGTTCAGAAACTCTAGATCTGTATGTATATTAGAAAGAATATAAGAAGCAACTGCTGAATTTCCAAAAACCAGAGCTTAAACAAGACAAGTTTGTTTCTTTCTCACATAATAATCCAAACTTACAGTTTTCTGTGGTTGTGGGAATTCGACCCTGTCCAGGTATTAGTTTTCCTCAAGCAAGTCACACCACACTCCTCCACATGCAACATCGGCCAAGACGGCTGCTAATCTAGCCAACACCCCGGCACTAAAGCCAGAGGTAAGAAGAAGATGTGCAAAAGAGACAGCACTTCTTTCTCTTAAAAACACCATCTGGGAACTGCATATAGCACAGCTGTTCACACTCATTGTCTACAACTTGGTTAACACTCATTGTCCACAACTTGGTTACATGGCTCAGTTAGCTGAAAAACAGGCTGTAAGATCTAGTGTTTATTCTGGATGACCACATGCCCAGCCTAAATTTTATAACCATGGAATAAGGGGGAAATGGATATTGGGTAAACCTGTAGTCTCAGCCACAATCCCCTCCATCTAACCACTTTGGTATCTGTATATACTCTTTCCAAATATGAAGCACACTTGCCTGCTTCTCAAAATAATCAAGAATTTGGGGTAATGTATATTTCTCTCCACATCTGAATGTAGCTCTTCATGTTCTATAGACTTATCTGTCCGTTCCCTCTCGCCCCAGCCACACACCAACCATACTATAGTGTAATATGGCCAGAATCCAACAACTTAAATTTTTATTTGTAAAAGAAAATGGGAAATAGAACAGTCACAATCCCTTAACAATGGTCAAATTCTGTGGTGCAGGAATTGCCAGTATGCCCAGATTTGGCAGGGGAGTACAATTTTTGATTAGCTCAAATTGCAATTCCTGATTACTTCTCACTGGAGCTGGAATCTCCTTGACCTTTATCCTTCAGGGTGCTCTTTTTTGTCTTGTTTACTGTAGCCATTTCTTTCTCTTTTTTTAAGTCTAGTTTTATTAAGTTAGAATTTATGTACAGTAAAATTCACCTTTTTGGTGTACAGGACTATGGAAAAGAAGCAACACCCCTGTGTAGGCATCAAAGTAGCACCAAGGCACATAGGAAGTGCAGGACCGATGTCCAAATGAGGAGGGAAGCCCAGAGGGATGGGTTCTGCAGTTAGTGAGGCTCTTACCCTAGAGGCACCTGCCAACCTGGAGAAGACAGCTGAGAGGCTGAGTGGCTAACCAGACATTGGAAGAGAATCGTGAAGCTGACGGCGACAAAAGTTAGACTTTAAGGCCTATCAAGTGGTAGGGACTTAGTAAAGACCATCGGATTTTGGACAGGAACAAAGCATTGCACCCAGGGAATAAGAATGTCTCAGAAATATCCCAACATTTACAGTTACACAAGTCAGTTTGAAATCATCTCAATCCCAATTAGGTTAAGGTGATCTGGGATTGCTAGTGATTCCAACCCAGCCACCTCCCCCCAAATTAATGGTAATGTCTCTTTGGAGAAACATTATATACATCATCCTGGGCTTCTAATTTTTTCTACAAGACAAAGTTTCCAAAAATAAATGTCAAACTTGGACTTGAAAAAAAGGTAAGGAACTTTTACTGGCAAAATAAATCAAGAAAGACGGTAGAAATGTAGACTTAATGTGAAAAATGTGACACTACTCTATCCAAAACACACTTCGATTATTTACCTATATGCCCACTCTAGGACCTATCATGCTCATTCAAGAGGCAGGCCCTGTTTCTTAATTAAACTGAATAATAGGGCATTAGCTCCTACTCTCAGTAATAGATTCTCTTTTTCTACCAGATCATGTGGATTGACATTTCCTGTTTTAGGATGTATAGAAACTAAAAGGAACAATCGCACAACAAAAGGTGAAGTATAACTTTAACCAAAATGATATCTTTACCTATTTTCATGAAGCTATGGGTTTTCTTGTCAAATCCTGGAGCCCAATACTTCTCCTACAACCACATGTGTTAAAGATTTCAAATCACCTGATCCTAAATAAATCTCCACTGAAGATGATTCATGGAAGCTTCTATTTGAGTAAATCAGATGCTCAAACTTATTTTTTTAAATAGTATAAAATTGAAGCCTGCCCCTCCAGTGCCAATCCTGAAAGGCCTATCACATGTCACTGCTTGAGCTTGCTTGACATGTGATCTCTGCCACCATCCCTCTAAGCCAAGGATGAGTCCCACCAGATAGGCCAGACACAGGATGGTTCTCAGTGGTTATAGTAAGATTCATTCCCCACCTAAACTTTAGGTACAGTTTATCACTGGGATTTACAAGAAAAGGAGGCATAGACCCTAGGATTTTGTGATGGCAGACACATCTCAATTTGGGATCTATATCTCAAATGTCACCACCTCTGAGCTGGCATCCCTGAAGCCTTCTCTGTGCTGCCACAGCATCCTGTTCATTTCTGTATTGTAGCACATGGATTATAACTCTCTTTTCACTTGTCCTTTTCGCTTACTACATTGTCACTTAATGTTTCTGAGGACAATGTTACATTCATCTTATAGTGCTTAACACTATACCTGGCACACATAAAAGTTCCTTCAGAAAGACTGAATACTTTTTTTTTTGTTTGTTTGCTTTATTTTTATTTTTTTTATTTTTAATTATTTTTTAATTCAACAAAATCATCTCAGTTTATTTATTTTTTTGTGTGTATCTATTTTTTTATTATTTTTATTTTGTCAATATACAATGTAGTTGATTATTGTGTCCCATCAC